GCCGGCTGGGCTGCGGAGGCTGCGGTGGCTGAGCTGAGGTCGGTCTCGTATCGTGTTTCTTCCCGGGGGTGTGCATATCACATTCGAGGTCGAGCTGTACTTAATGATGAGCGAAACAAACAAACAAACAAACAAACAAACAAACAAACAAACAAGCAAACAAACAAACGCATTAAACAAGAGAGACGAAGGAACGATAAATCTTTAACTTAAATTATTTGTAAATTATTGCCCCTATTGTGGTTGGATCATCCATAAAGTGCGTCTGTCATCTGCCGTTACGAAATTGGGCCAATGCAAGGTCTCATAACGCCTGATCGGTAGGCAACATCTTGCCTGTAGTGCATGGGTGTACTGCGGGGTGGCCTACCCTGAGCCTCACAGGCGCCAAGCGGCAAATAAATCTGAGTGAGAGCATGTGGGAGACTAGAAGACTAATTGACTTTCCCTGCGATCCTAATACTTAGAACAACAAGCATTGTTCACTGTGCCCAAATAAACAAAATGACATGCTGTGGAGTTAATCGTGACTTTTTCGTGTCACTTATTGGCAGTTCTCCTGCTGGGCCACACCCGCTTCACCTCTCTGGTCTGGTGTGACAACGATCGTGTCGAAAGGAGGTGCCTACGCAGATCTGCCGCGCGCTGCCTTTGGTTCCTCGTCCTAGACGTCCTGGATCGATTTCCAAACTCCGCTCGCGCCGCCGCCGCTTCCATCCCGTGCGGTTGTGATATCGCCCCGCCAGGCCTCCGATCCGCCGGGGCTCAGCCTCGCAATCAGCGCCGTGAATGAAATGTTTTGAAGGTTGCTCAAACCGTCTGCATAAATGGCGCGCGCTCATCGCGTCAACGAGCCAGGCTAGAGGAAGAAAAGAAAAACAAACGGGGAAACCGCGCTGACTTTCAAATGACCTCTTCTCCGTTCCGTCCATAATCAAAAATAAAATGGAAGAGCTCCTTTAATAAACATTCCCGAAAAACGTTGTAATAACGTGCGTTATCCGTATGCGGATAACATCCATCTGATGGTCCATGCTCGTCCGTGCAGTGCTGCTCGTGATGCGCAGTGAGAGGTCCAGGACTAGTATACGTAGGGGAAAATTCAAAAGTTCTCGCGGAGCGCTTGGCAGGAAGCAGCGGTTAAAACTGCCCTTATGGCGCGCGTTCACCAGTTCGTTCTCTTCTCCGCGTCGCGTTCCCGTTCCCGTTCTTGAAGTGGTTCCCGAGAAGCCCCCCAGTACATGTTCTCCGAAGCCCACCCGCACCCCTGTTTGTGGTACAGTGGCGAAAGTGGGCGGCGTGAGTCAGCCACCTGGTACAATGCTTCCTGATAATTTGACATGGAGACAGAAGAGACAGAGAGTAGAGAGTTATTTGGAAAAGTGCAGTGTTTGACACCAAATGCAATGTCTGCCTCTAAGTCTTCCACCCCGTCGCTCTCACCGCCCACGCCCTGCGCGTGCACATCCGGCGACTCTCTGACCCCACTGGGGCGAGGTGCGGCGAGTCAGGCGGGGAGCAGACGAAGCAGACCGCGCCCGTGGAGGGGCTAGGGCTAGGTGTGGGTATAGTGCTGGGGTTGGGGTGGCTATGGTCCTATCCGATCTCAGTCCCAGACCCAGCCCCTCTCGCCCTCCCTACGCGTGTCAAATCAATGTGCCCTGTAATACATCAGCCACCTGCCAGGCCAGGCCGGCTAGCCCCGGGACGAGATCAAAGCTCCCTGCTGCACGGCGCAGCCCGGGGCAGGCCCCGCCTGGAGACACTGGGGAAGAGGAAAGAAGGGCGGGTGCGTCCTTCTAGAGGGAGAGGGCGCCCAGAGGCCCGGGGGCGACCAGGGGCGCACGGTGCAGGGCGCAGGGAGGGTCGGTCCGGCGAGGAGAGAAGAGAGGAGAAGCAGAATGTTATTAGATTCGTGGACCGTCGGGAAGCGGCTTCGACAGGCTTATTGAATTCCCCGCTCCCCGCCCCGCCAGGATCACCGAGCGCCCACGGCGCGCGGGGCTCGGCGCGGACGGACAGACGGACGGACGGCCCCACGGGCGGCGCGGGGAGGAGGTCGCCGAGGAGCCCATCCCATGCGTGTGACGTCGTGGCCCCGGGTCTTCGGCCCTAGCCCGCTCGCAAGTGTACTTCAGCTAACAAAGAAAGAAAAAGAGCGGCTGAAACATAAACGTTCCTAATTGGTCCAGAGCTTGTCGCGGGGTAAAAGCTTGACCAATCAGCAGGAACCGTTACCGCCTGTTCTTCCATAAGTGTACACTGCGCTAACGCCTTGCTATCGCCCCCTCACGCCGACCTGTCCACTCGCGGTGCCCGCGGCGCGGTGGGCGTGGGTGGGTGTGGCAACGCCAGGCAACGCGGGGCGCTGCCGTTCAGTTGTAATGCCAACATGTTCGTTTGTCCGTCAGTGCCCCTCCCCCTCCCCCTCCCCTCCCCCCCCCCTCCTCTGTTTCTCGTCCCTACGAGCTTTTTTACGGGCGGCCGGTCGGTTCGGTCGGACTTGGAAACGGGAGCGTTCCCTTTCCCAATATGTGGGGCAGCGGCGGAACGGCCAGGAATACAGACGCGCGCGCGCGCACACACACACACACGCGCGCGCACACACACGCACACACACACACACGTGCGCGCGCGCGTATTGGTTTGGTTTCGCGATTGCGGTAGCTGCAGAGCGCATACTGACCCGACGCCGCCGACGCCGCCTGTCCCGTGCGAATTAGTAGAACAAAAACTGCGGAATTGCCCTTGAAATCTTTGCTTAGTATGACGAATTTTCAACGAAATTTGACACTTCTAATTACGCCAGACGCCAGGTGGCTGATTCCACTGATTCACGCCGCGCACTTCCGTAGTTATACTGTGCCGCATGCACGGGTGCCGGCGGGTTTGCCTATCCTCGCAGCACACGGCTCGCCATTCAAATCTGGCTAGACTTTTGACGCAACTTTTGGTAACACGGCCATCGGCAGACCTTCCCCTACAATTCTATAGGAAAAATATTGAGGCGGCCAGATGTCTCAACGTGCGGCAAGGCGGCAGCCGCGGGGCAGAGAGCTTCCTGTCCCCTCTGTAGTCTCTTGGCTCCTTATGTTAGCACCCATAAGAAATCTACCTCGCTTGCAGATAAAATGGCACTTCCGGAGGTTTTAGCCCGCCCTTCTGCTTTAGAAAAACTATCTAGCGGGCTTATGCAAACGACCTCGTGTCTGTCTGTGTGTCTGTCTGTTCCACTAGAAGGAGATGTGCTAGAGACTTCAAATTTTCAGGGTATCTTACGGTTCACTCCTAGAAAACGAAACGCCTATGGCAAATCCTGGCAACCACCCCTAAGGGGCTGAAAGGGGGTATCAAAGAAAATGAGGTAGGTCAAAAAAAAGTCCGCTCCGCCGGCAACTCCGTTCGGCAGGGGCCGGGCCTGCATGTTGTTCTTCTCATATGCACGGGTCAGGGGACATAATTATACATCCTCTACCAATTGTAGACCAGGTATCAAAATCGCAGCTCGCCCGCCCGGGGGACGCGACTGGAGGGTGTTTCAAAATGATACTAGAGACATAACTCACCACTCGTTCGAGTTCGCAGTTTTCCGTGCCCGGTCCCCTCTGCCGGGCCGGCCAGCAGGCTGCTGCAGCGGAGGCGCACTTCTCCGGCCGGAGTCGAGCCTTCACCAGATTACCAGATGTAGTGGTGCGGGCGGCCTACCCTACCGCGGATTGGCGGGTAACTTGAGTTCGAGGCCCTGTTGTAGACAGTCCCCGAGACCCAAGTGACCTCCCCCTGTTGCAAGTACTTGGGTCGCACCCTGTTTTAGGAGTGAACTCCTCGGGTTCTAGTCAGGATGAATGATTGTGTCAGAAGGTTAAGGCTATCTAGTTATATTGAAGCTAGGACATGATGCAGTGGTTCCTCGCTACACTCATCCTATCCTCCTAGCGCTCCCTCGAGGCGACTGTGAGCTCTGGTCTGCCCTGCACCTCTATTTATGCCATCGGGAGCGTCCAGCGTGGAGGGCTGATCTCCTGGGGTTGCATTCCCACGATCAGAACATCCTCCCGCCGATTCGCACCCGATCCGCGCCAGACGGATGTCCTTTCAGCCACCCGCGTTTGGCCATCACCTGCTGAGGGCACTGGCAGCGCGGCTAGCGACGGCCAGTGCGGCCGGCGCGGGTAGCGCCGAACCGACCAGCGCGGCCAGCAGGGCCAGCGTGGTCAGCGGGGCCCGCGTCCGCTAGACCAGACGGTGTCGAATTTAGTCTGGCGCAGGTGTGGGAATATGCCTAGTCTACGGACCGTATGTATCCTCCTATAACAACCCCCACCGCCCGACAGGCTCCACTCTGCCCAGCTCGCCAGGTGGCCTAACCGGCAGGCGCCATTCTCAGACTCATTCGGCGCCATCTCGTATGCCCCGTCCCGTCCAGCTCCAGACTTGTCTCTCTCCCTGGCAGACCCCCTCCCCCCCAGCCAACGCGCCCCTATTACGGTTCTGACACATCACGTTGCCCTATCCATCATGCAGGAGTGACTTCTCCACGCCCCTCGCCCCTTCTGCCTCTCCGAGGGGTAGTTGGCACGGGGGAGGGGGATGTGGGGGGAGGGACTCTGGGGGACAAAGAGAGTGGCTCAGCTCCCGCAGCACAAGCGTTGCTCCAGCCCTAGGGAGGCTAATACATAACACACCCAGACAGGGCAGGGACACGGGCGTGCGAAGCGGGTAGACCCGTTGTTGCGACCGCCAGAGGAACGGAAACGGACCTGCAGGATGAGTACGCTGAGTACGCATGCCCTAACCACGCCTGTGATGGCTGACCGCCGCCCTGGCCTGAAGCCTAACCGGCCTGGACCCCCATGCAAGTTTGAGGCCTTTGCGGGGAGAGGGGTTGTGATTGCGGTTGAATTAGTGATGGTGCAGACACCCGTGGATGCCGCATCTGGCAAAGCTTTGATGAACCACTTCACGCAGAGGAACATGGCCACGAAAAAAATCTATCACTGTACATTCAAAAAGAACATTATATATGATTATTATTGCACACCGTCATAAAATACAAATCAAAATTTAACTGCATTGTCCGGAAAAATATAGCTAGTAAATGTTTGTTATAGTCTTATTATTTCTTTTGTTCACCTATCTAAAATAACAATATGTGGTCTTGTACTTGAATATTACTTCAGAGCTCAAGATTCAAGCCAAGAGTGCGCTTGCTCCTCCTGCAAAGAGAGGAAATCATTTGCATAAAATAGTTTGGATGGTAAGAATCCCTCCCCCCCCTCATGTTCTTTTTTTTTCTTAAACACACATCTTACTAAAGATATTCAAAGTAATGAGACAATCTAACACCAATTGATTTCTTACCGTAAAATAACATTCATAATCTGGCTCTGTTGAGTCTGTAGACAGTTTTCTTGCAATGTTGATCATTGTTTTCTGTCTTTTACTTGAAGCGCTGTAAATGTAAAAACATTTTAAAAACAGACTTTAGACATATTTCAAAAATGAAAGACACACTTTAAAAAGCAACCACTATAATTTACTTAGTTGATGCTGGATTTTTCTTTTTTCTCTTCATTTTTGGACCTTGATTTTCAGGACCACTCTTTTCCGTTTGGTTATCCTTTACTTGGTGGGGAACCTTGAAAAAATAGGACTTATGTATTCAACCTTTAAACTTAAAACTGAATTCACTGAATACAAAATGTTGACATTGTGCTAGTCTTGTTTACCTTTCTCTTAGCCGTGTTTATCTTTCCAGCATTCTGATCAATTTCCTGCCTGGGTAGTACTTGCTTATTATTACTGATTTTAGCACCTTTTTTGGAAGCATTGTTACTTATTTCCAAATTCAGATTAACCTGCTGCAACAGTTGCACCTGATAGAGTAGTAATTTTTTTTAAGTAGGGATGTTGCAACAAAATCAAGTTTTATTTAAAACAAAGTAATTATTTAATGTAAATACATTTCTATGGACTTTTCCAAGTTTAGTTTGCTTTTTTCTTACATTTCTTGTATCATCCTCAGACTTGTCAACTGATGATTCAGCTTTAGCTTTCTTTGCCCTGGTTATACTGAAAAAGATGTGTAAATCAGTATCAACCATTATAATGGCAAAGAACTCTCTCATGACAGTAGTAAGAAGACAAGTAACAAAAAATTAGTAAAATGTTCACCCTTTCTTTGAGACTGTAAGCAATGATTGCTCTGGTTCTGCTGTCAGAACTTTTGCCACTTTCTTCAAAGTCTCTTTTTTAAGGGCAGGTGCACTCCCTTTCATTTCAGACTTGGTGGGTTTTCGTCTATCCTGTTTAGTTACAAGACCATTATATTATAATCAATTACTTTCTGAGAGCAATAGAAATTAATGCATATTCATAAATACCTCAAGCACCAAATTGGTTTCTGGAATTATATTAGATGTTTGAGAATCTTTCCTTCTCCTCCTTGTGCTTTTATTACCTAGATGGGTAGAGGAGGAAAGATTAGCTAAACCCAACCGTTACTGAGCATAATTGTGAAATGATTTTCTTTACACAAATTGCATACCTGACTTTGATTTAGGAATTTCAGCTTGACGTGTAGAATTACATTCTGTGTCCTGAGTCTTAGATAGCCAATACTGCCTGGGTTTCTCAACAGCTCTCCCAGACCTCGTCCTACAAACAGGGACTGTTGTCTCGGACACACTTAAAGAAACCTTGTCGGTACTACAATGAATTAAGCTATTTGCTGACTTATGCCCATCTCTTGCATGAGTTTTCTTTTTCTTAGCCATTGAATTGTTGGTGTTAAGCTTGTCAATTTTAACACTACATTCTAACAGTTCTTCACTAACAAGAACAGGATCAGATTCAATCTGAATAAGACTGGACCAATCATCAACAGTGTTGTCTTTCATTCTCAAAATTGACGACTTTCGGAGAGGCCTGAAACTAATGTCTTCGGAACAGAAAGATGAGTGGTCATCATGAAGATTGTTGGAATTCTTTCCTACAGACACCTCACTCCGAATCACTTTTCCATTGCTCTTGAAATTAACATTGGCCTGATCAATTTCAGGGACTCTTGGTTTAATAAAATTGTGTTTCTTAGAAATATTTTCTGTTTCATTATGTAGAAGACTTGTTGTGGAAGAGCCATCATCACCTGCATGCACTGTGCTGCTTGGACTCTCACATGGAGAACTAAAGATTAAAAATGAAAAACATTAAAATGTTAACTGATAACTAATTGGAAAAGAAAATTAGGCAGTACTAGGACAAAAAGAAAACACTACCTTAAAATCTGCTTTCCAGCATCACCTTCTCTACTTTTTGTTGGAGAGTTATCGCATCGAGTAGAACTTGATGTATCATCATTAATGGATCTATAGGAGCAAAACATTATTTCTTTTCTTCGGTAAGCAGTCAAGATTTAAACTAGAACATAAACAAAACTTTACCTTAACATCTGCTTCCCAGCATCTTCTTCTCTACTAATTGTTGGAGAGATATGACATTGAACAGATCTTGATGTACAATCATTAATGCATCTATAGAAACAAAACATTATTTTTTACTCATTCTTTACCACCCACCCTCACATAGTCGGTAGTGGAAGAACGAGTATTGTTCTCGGTGTGAGGTAATGCTTAATATGATTCCACTTTCATCTCACAAATCACAATACCTACAGAAGTGGAAACTGTACCATTCTGATTTGGAAATACTGGTCTTGATCAGGGGTCCGTAACTTATTACTTAGCTGTCTTTAACGTTACTTTAAGAGTTAAAGTTATAACTTGTAACTTTTACTATAGTCCTTTAGACATAAGGTTAATTATTTGACAAGTCCAACTTTTTCCTACAGTATGTATGATTAATAACGGACATATTTCAAAATCGATAACTTTAACTTTTAATCGGACATGTGTTTTGTGACGTTGAGTAACTAATGTTCATTTGTATTACGATAAGTTATGGACCCCTGGTCTTGATTCCAACAATGAACTAATTTTTTTTTTAGTTTAATAGTATTATTTTGAGAACTCTTGACAAATTTTGCTGATTTTTGTGACCCAGCTTATTAGTGGACATTTTAATCACAGAAGACACAACAGCTACAAGCATAAAATTAATACTATTCAAAATTAGGAACCTTGCTGTCACTTTTGAAAAATTAACTTGTTTCATATTTAATAGTACTTTTTTGAGAACTCTTAAAAATAACTTTGAGGGTATTCCATCTAAGTCCCCCGACTACCGAGCCAGCCGCCCTCGGGCTGTGTTCAGGCCCTGCCTCACCCCCCCCTCGATAAGTTTAAGTATTTGCATTTACACACAATTAGACGGGCAAGACCAGTATTAAAACTACAAATTTTTGTGACATTCCTATATGCATATCTGCATGTAGTAATATAATTGGATAATGTAAAGCACCAAGAACAATAATTGCAAACACCGTAAAGAACGAGTGTTACATTTGACAAAAAATTAATTTTGTGTCTACTTCTCCCTTTATTTACTTAGGTTAGCAGATAAGATTAAAATGACAAGATGTCTACCATTGATCTTACTTAGTTTTTTCAGAGGAATCACATTCCATCAGTGTCAGTTGAGGAACAGGAAAAGTCGATTTCAGAACATTACTTGTGGACTGCTGACAAGGAAATGAACTGTTGGATGAATCTAGAACTAAAGTATAAAACATAAGGTTGGAAAATATGTGGCATTAAATTGAATTTAAATAGTATTTTAAAACAAACATCCACAAAACTAACCAGATGTGAGCTGATTTATCATTTGCATGAACTGTTGCCTTTGAGTCTGAAATAGAGTTATTTTTGAGATACATTACACATACTAGGTAAATTAAATTAATTTGGCTGAAGTAACTTACTTGAAGAAACACCTCAAATGACTGAATAAGGTCAGGTATGGTTCTATTCAAATTACTCTCAGGTGGACCTAAACATATTTTCACACTAAAAATTAGTAAATACTGAAACCGTACGTATTCCCATCATTGTTACCAGTTATCATATTACTTACCCAAGATGGAAGACTGATTGAGACAATTTTCACAATTACAGTTTTGACAAAAGCTTGAATTAGTATTACTGAGGAACCGTGGTCTACTTTCATCAGCTATTCGAGTTGATTCATCAACTATATCCTTCACTTTTTTAATTCTTAAAGCCGCATCTTGTAGACCATTTGAAGGTAAAAAATGGTGAACTGCCTTCACCTGGAACATGTGAAGTTCTGGTCATGTAATGTACACTGATTTTTAAAAAGTGCAAAATACTATTCTAAAGAAAGTAGTCACAATATCACTTCTGAAGTGCAGTTCAATACAGAAGCGTGACAGATTGTGATCATACCTGCCCTGGTAGTGGCTTATTCGGTCTGACATTATACGGCATGGGAGCTTGGTATAATTGTTGTTGGAATTTTTTGACGATTTCCCATGGTTTTTCCATAACATTACAAAAGATGTAGCACCATTAAAATCAGTTCAAACCAACTAAAAAACCTACAGCACAAGAAATAGGATAATCAAAATATAGTTCAAGTAGAAACACTGGGGTTAGATCCATCATTTGAAAATGGTGAGATCAAATACACAACACGAATACATCACAAGGTGTGTACACTGAAATACATTATTATTAATTTAAAATAAAGCAGATAACCTGCAAACTTTGAAACTATTTAGCTTCTCGGGGAATATAAACGACTATGCGACTGATAGGTAGACACATTTCATTACGCTACTCACAAAACTCTCCAAGTCACGAAGTATTTTGAAGACGTCTTCAGTTATTTGTTTGTTATTTCTTCTTTCATTTAGAAAAAGATTAGGGCAAAACTGTTGTTAGTTGAAAAATTTGAACTTTCAAATACACAAGTGGTGTACAAGCTGGGAAACATGAAATGATGTGTATGATGCTTAGGCACTGATCTTGAAGAGAGTAATCAAACAAATCAGATCAGGTATAAAATCATGGACAGCTACTTAATCTTGGCTACGCGGCATGAGGTGCTAATCCCAATCCCAATAATGCCCAAAGGTGGAGAAAAGTTGAATAGGGTCGCGAAAAGTTTTCTACCCTGCGCTGAAAGTGAGGGTTCAGCCTACAACCTAATGCAGGATGCAGGTCCGTGATTGGCGAATTCGCCCCGCGAGTCATTTGTTTTTGGACGAATTGACCAATCAGGGATCTCGGTTAGGGTGTAGGTCGGATAGACCCGAGGCTCGGCCGCCCGCCCGCTCGGAAAAGGGCCCGAGCGCTACACCCCCTTCGGACGCGGGTTGCCTAGATGCCAGGAGAGTAGGGCAACTTTCTGGGGCTGGCTCCGCCGGCTCGGCGGCTCGGTGTCCGGAGCGGCCGGGCTGAAGCTGCGTCCAGACAAGAGGGTCGCTTGGGTTGCTTGGGTCGCTTGGGTCTCTGAGCCGGCGCAGAAGCCACGTTTTGGTTCTCTGCGCAGACTCAGAGACCCCACAGCGACCCAAACAACCCAAGCGACCCAAGGGACCCTCTTGTCTGGACGCAGCTTGAGATGTTAGTGAAAGGAAGAAAGGGGGTGGCCGTTTCACAGGGGCTACTAACAATCATGGAGACAAGACGAGGTTTTACAGTAAAAAAGTAACACAATTCTCCAGCTAAATTGGTCATTTATTTAAACAAACTGTTAAATAAAACAAACTACGGATTCTAAGTGCATTCAGATGTATACTGTCACAGCCAATAATATTTATTGCTTATCTTTATAAACTGACTCTCTCCACACTGTTTTTCAACTTTTAAAGAAGTATCTCCCATTATTGATGTATCACAGCATAGAGATGGGAATGAGCTTGAGATACCCCCTTGTTTACTTTGAATAAATATTCTGTTAATTTTTATTTTATTTTTTAAAAAATAGTAAAGGGGTACTTCTAGAAATTCCCGGCAGAGATTACACACTGGCACATTTGACCAGTTGGACGGCTCAGTGATAAATGTTAATTATCACATGTTTAATAAGTAATCTACTACCTAGATAAACTACAAAACATTTAACATTTCTATTGTTAAAAGGATGTTTAAAAGACTAATTTTAATGAATTAGTAAAAATATATTTAAGACAGTTTATGGTTGAAAAAATGAGAAAGTCCAAGGACTTACGTCCTGGAAAAATGCATTCAAAAACCTCACAGCAGTCAATGTAAAATAGTAATGGGACTAAGAGTACACATACAGATTTTAAAATAGCAGCCGTACCAGAAAAGTTAGTAATAAAATAGAACTGATAGAACACAACCAGGCTCCCTTACAATAACATAATATCAAAAATAATTTAATATCAACAAATTTACTATTGAAAAAGAAGTCTTCGTCTTTGTACTCGTGGACATTCTCTTCCCATAAATCAAAACAGTAATATTCAATATGCATCTGTAATAAAACCTTAAAAATATCACAAAAAATGAAATTACCCCAAAACATTCTAAAGTTAATGAGGAAAAATGAAGCAGTGATTCAAACATTGCACCCTACTGCATAAATCACACATCAAACAAAAATATCAGTGAAGTCAACTACTGGTCAAAGCTTGGACTTGTGCGGACAACAACAATGTCATCTTCACCATTAATACTATCTTCCTCTGAAGTTGAGTCTTCATCATGATATGGTCTAGCTCGAAGCTCTGCAAATATGAAACACATGTCAGTTGAACAATGCGCAGATGAAGCAATATGTGGTTGTAAATCAACCATGACCGCTTCAAAAGTAGATAATTTACCATTCAAACCTGGTGTTGCAAACATATTAATTTCTTTCATACTATCAAAATTTTCTGCTCTCTGAGACAAGATAGAAAATGAATAACTATCATCTCGTCGACGACTTGAACGTCGTTGATACACAGAATAACAAGCAGCAGCACAAATAACCAAAAGAAGGCTGATCAAACCTGTGGGAAGAAAAGGTACATTATAATGGAAATTAAAGTTATGAAGCAGTAGCTTGCAATAATTGGTGGTAAGTTCTTACCAGCAAACATTACAAAAATGATTCTGGGCATTCCCCATACAGTCTCATCTTTTGTTAAATGGAACATCACTTTTACTTGTTGAGTAGAAGATATGGTAAGTAATTTTGTGACAGAGTTATATCCATTTGCTTCTACAGTCACAGTGTGCTCCCCTAGAATAAAAACCAGATTAGATTGTACTGAAATAGAAAATATATATCTAATATCTTCAAATTTCTACAAAACCATTGGGTTTAAAAGACTTGCCTTGGGTGGTAAGTCTCAAATATGCACCATTCTTCCCGCTAGCTACAGTAAAAGATTTACCATCAAGCATTAACCGGGCGTTTTCCACAGGTCTATTGTTCTCATCTGTTATGTAACCTACAACATATAGCGAAAAAACAAATATAGACACTAGAGACTTCCAAGGGGAAAGATAGGAAAACACAAGTTTACTTTACCTGAAAATCCCGGTGCACCAGTGCCGTTCACTACATCCAACAGATATAGTATACTGTTCATATGTGAAAGCCAAGTTTCCAAAATGGGAGCCTTGTCAGGTAATAAACGGCAATCTACATAGATTTCCATTGCCATGACACCCCCTCTTTGATATGCATAGTCCTAAATGAGGAAAATTTTAATGAACAATGTTTCTTTTCTGTCACTTTATAAATGCAGTAGAACAAGAAATCTTAGATACACACCATAAAGTTTCCAGTGCGTGGCCTCCATTGCCCTGCATTAGTGACACCTTTTTCAAAAATGTCAGTGGGTGACTTGCTACAGTGAGGCACTCCATTAGACATTGTTTCATGAAGTGCTGCGTAATGTTCCCCAATTGCTCTAAAAACCTGGAAGGAAATGGTGGTGGAAACAGATAAGATTATAGATTAGATTCTCAACCAAGATTTCTACCAATACAACATTGACAATCAATGGACTTTGATGTATTATAACTACAACGGTATTGCAAACTGCTACAACAGCCAAAAATCTTAAAACCTTCAAATAAAAATTGATAGAAAAAGCTGGCAGTCAATTAGGCCTTTCCAACCAAACTCTTCAACACAGACCCCAGATTGTACAGTATCTTTAAAACGTCTCTTCTACTGTTCAAATTTCTTTTTGACCAAACCTCTTACCTTCTCTAATCTAGCTCAACCTCTTCACATGCCCACAATTGTCACTTTAAGAACAGATAAAAAAAACAAAAAAACTTTGGATTGAAAAAAATATTTATAGAAAAATTATTGTATTTTTCGAGTGCACTAGTCATATTGTGACTTCTTTAGCACTACCGGTACCACATTACCAACCCCAAGATCTAGAGCCTAGGTAAGCGGTTGGAAACATGGAAAGCATTGGAATTTTCAAATAAATAGAACAAAATAAGAAAAAGAGAGGGGGAAAAAAGGCAAACCTTATCATCTGCTGTGGCGTATGGATTTGCATCACTCGAGGAATGAAATGAATGAGGATGTGTGTTGCCAAAGGGAATTGAAACATGCACTGATCCAGCACGTATTCCTAAAGCAAGGACAGGTCTTTCAGTTTCAAGCCATGACATCAGATACTGGGTAACCAAAAGCTGAGGTTGATGATCTATGTTATCTGAAATGATAAATAAGATAAGGTATAAAAAGAAAATTCTTAGGAAACAAATTCAACCTCCAGAAATATTCACCAATTGGGAAGTCAGTTTCCACATTAGTCTTATCTGATTCCATTGAAGAATCTGGGTTTACATTTGGAATAATATGGATTTTCAAGTTCTGCAAATTTAAAATTGAAATTAATGATGAGATGAAACAGTATATGAAACGTTTATGTTAAGATTAATTATAATACCAGTTTACCTCAACATATTTAGAAATGCGTGGATCTTTTCCATAGTTACGAAGTAAGTGCTGGATAAATTGTATAAGGATTTCTGTAGATATGCCTTCATTTGAATGAAAACCTCCAACAAAAGCTATAGATGGAGGGCTGCTAGTAAGTGGATCCCTAGACTGCAGACTAATTTCTAATGCTGGTACTTTGAGCATGTGACCAGGTGAAGTGTCTCCCAAACTAAAACAATGTGTATCAATAGATGGAAGTTTAGATCAGCATCATACTGTGTAGACACTAACTTACCCATACAATCGCGTTATTTTCGGATAGCGGCCATTAAGTTCGCTTAATATATGTATTAAGTCTTGAAGGCTATGATAAGCAGATGGGCTTGGAATTTGAGCACTCTTTGTAACTTTCAAAGCTACCTCAGTAAGATGGTTTTCATCCACATTTATTGGGACTTCTTCAGCTCCATATGCAGCAGGAACCTTAAACACAGATGCAGGTAATAAGAACATTGAAAACAATAAGGCAAAAGAATGAAAATGGAATTAGTTTTGAGAAATACCTGGAGAACATAAGATCCTGTTGCTAGTATAGCATTAAAATATGCCATGTTGGGAGAAACTGGAATGTCATAGTTTGAATCTTTAATGTGCAAAATGGCACCACGTACTGGTTCACCATTTTCAAAAATAATCTGGCCTCTAACACCCTGTACACTTGCTGACAAGAGACGCAGCAGGCTTTCTAAGTTATTTTTCCACAATTTTGGAATGGCTGCAGCTATTGCATGACGACAACAGCTTGCTTGAATGGATAACTGGAACAGCAAAACAGTATATTTGTATCTAAACTTCTATAAAGCTATGTAAGTTTTATAATTGTAGAACACATTACTAGCCACATTAATATTCAATGAAAGTTCACAAACCATAGGTTTTCCTGTTTTTGCATACACCGCATCAACCATTCGTTGTCTCAGATCTTCCATGTTGTCGTGAGACACACCTTGAATAGGTTCACATTCACTGGCTGTTGACTGCTCATAATGTTTTTCCAACATTATAAGAGCATCTCTTAGCACATCATCTGATTGAGTGCTGTGCCTATGTAACAGAACATTTGATGATAAGAGATTTCCTTTATAACAATAATGGAAATTAACAATAAACATACATGACTAAAACACAAACCTGAGATGTAGACCACCTCCTTCAAGACTGACAATTAAATTCAACGGCTCAGACTTCAGAAGATCTATGGTTTTGGTTAACAATTTATTTTCTGCATCTGTATCCCCAACTCCTGGACTGGCAATCAACTGACCAATCCCTCCCCCAGGATTAGTTGAGAGTCCACAATCTAATGTGTTATTGACACTTTGGTCAAATAAAAGCAGCATATGAATCACACTACTTTTAAGGATATGCACTACATTGGTGTCACTGGCATTAAAAGCAGCCACAAGATGTCGTGTTAATCGAGGAAGGAGTTCCACACCAACTGATTCTGGACCCCATAACCCCCCAATCAACAATATATGAAACTTATTTTCTTCTGGTGCCCCAATCTGTAACATTTCAACATTTGTTTCTGTCAGATAAAGGGCCAAAAGTTTCCTGACTGACATAGCACATATTCACAAGGTAAAAAGTCAAATGAAATTACCTGATCACTTATTTTGTAGTGGAGAACTGATTCTGTGGTAAAACTATCTACCACTTCAACCAGCTGAGGATATTTTACTTCCATGCCTTGAACAATTTTCCTGATATCTTCTGATGTGTGTAACTTGTACATATTTAACACATTTTCCGGTATATCAAAGTCATGACTACTAGACCATTCAAGAATATCATCTCGAAGAAGTGTGAAATTCAATTGTGCTGGTCTTGCTGGAATATACGTTGTTGCGCCGGTATCGGGCACTTCAATAGTCTGTGTCTGGCTTTCATAACTACAGAAAAACATAAAACAGATAGAAAGATAAGATAAGATAAGATAGAAAGATCTAAAACAATAAGGAACACATCTTATGGATGGAATAGAGTTGCATTACCCATGCATTGACGCTGTTATGCTATACTTTCCAGGTAGAAGCAACCGCCAGTAGTCACCATCAGCTGCAGTAGTTATATCATGATCTATGCCTTTGACACGAATAATTGCATTTTTTAGACCAATGCCAGCAGTTGATCTTACAAATCCTGCTACTCCTGTATGTACCTGGAAGAATACAAATGTGGTAAAATGTATTCTGCAAAGTATTACTACCACAACTTACTGTCTCTTAAATAAACTGACCTGTTCCATATAGAGAATTAATGATGTACGATGGTCCTGCCAATATTTCCGTACTTCAGTGTGATTTGGGAACTTGTCACATCCCATTTCGATCGTAAGTTCAAAGCAGTTGGAGTGCAAGTAATTGTAATCCTGCATCCCTCCTGGAACTACATACCACTCTGCTCCATTAGTTATCCCACTAGGAAATCTTTCGTTTAAAAGTGATGGATCATTGCCACATGGTTCACCCAAAGACATAGTTGGGTGGGCCTGGAACACAGGTGGGTAAATATCTTAATTTACAACAATTTTTGAACAATAGATAAGGTGGTGAAATCCAATCAGTTTCTTACATTGGCATACGTATGAGCCAGGCGTTTAAAAACAGCATCGTCTGGACTAGGGTTAGCACCCCTATGTCCATTTTTTGTATCATCATAAGGATAGTTAGCTACTAAAGCTCCATTATGTAAATTGGCTGACAGCACAAAAGGATAGTTCCTAATCCACTCCATAACTGCTTTTGTTTCTGGCTCCTGAACAAGGTTGTCCTAAAAGATATATGGTTAGTTGGATTATTCTGTAACAGAGTTAACATTAGTAAACATCTCAAAACTCACATTTGTGCTCCCATACTGATCAGGAAAGTTTCTGTTAAGGTCCCTCCCATGGCTGTTAGCACGCCCAATTGCGGATGTTTTGTCACCTTCATGTGATACTTCATAACCATCTGGATTCATTGAAGGCAATAAGTGTATGCGGGTGGTATCTATTAGTTCAGTTATTCTTTTATCCGTTCCGTATTGTTCACAAAGATACTTGGCCAACAGAAGCAGCATTTCCCGTCCCACAACTTCATTGCCATGCATATTGGCAACATACTTGAATTCAGGTTCCCCTAAAAGGCAATAATGAATTTAAGTCCATACACTAATTTTAATTTTATTTGACAGCAACATCAATGCAACAGTCAAACCTGGTTCATGATGGCCTGGATTGTCACTAATCTCCAGGACATACAATTCACGTCCACGCACACTCGTGCCAATTGAATACAGACGGGTGATTTTTGGGTAGGTTCTTGATAAAAATGTCATCCAATGCACCATTTCAGAAAAATTGTGATGCGTAAAAACTGTGTCGGTCATGAATCCCTCACCATCTGTTTGAAGTCTTACATTTGATATAAGATCACCTGTTTTTCCTGTTCCTTCAGGAAAAGAGAAAAGAAAAGTTGCAAATGAGTGATGTTGAAAGTATTATGTTTCAAGGGTAGTCCAGTGCATTAACAAATCAAACAGAATCACACAAAAGGATAAAAGAGGAAAATCTTCACAGATGGATCTGAAATCTGTTTGCAATAATACATTTGAAGGTAATACAACAGAAATTGAGGGAACCAATTGAAATGCAAATATACTAACAGGCACCATAGATAGCTTTTAATTTATCTTAAGGTTTGCAGCTAAAAATCAGGACACAACCATGAAAAAAAGGAATACATTGATCTAACAACATCCTTTAAGCACCTGAAACAGTCTGCAAACAGCCCAAATTTCACTTATATTGCAAGAAATTATTTGACTTAATTAAAGTTAATAACTGCCTGAGGTAATCTGTAGAAAAAACTGTTGCTTTCAGTATGTTTCTTGAGACAAGGTTCCATTAAAAATTCTAAACCATTACTAAAATCAGATTTATTCATTGCTTACAAAAAATAAGCTTAATTCGTTAAGACATAGATTCACAAGAAATTGTCAAATTTGTGTGTAAATTACTAAATTACACTGAAACAACAATAATCAAGTACAAAACCAACTTAAGAAGTCGTTGTCAGAATTATAAAATATACTTTGTCCAAATAATAAAATCCCAGAGAACACATGAACAATTAAAGAAATGGTAAATGAAATCATTCCACCTAGACACCAAATTACGTAGATAAATCAGTTCACAAGTTTTGTTTGACTGGACAACCAAGAACTAATGATGGGTAAAATAATGATCAATGGGTTCAGCAGTTCTTGATGAAAACCAGTATTTTTCTGCACATCTTCAGCTGGCAAATCTGGACTTCCTACTAAACAAACCATCACCAAAAAGAATAAAATATTAATGTTCCTTTAAATGGATCTTAATATGTAACATACATTTGAAGAGTGTGGAGAGGTAAAACTTTATATGTGGACCATATAACATTAAATGAACATGCACAAGCAAAAGCTAACAATTAGGAGTAAAAGGCATGCCACGTCACACTCCCATATGTAAGACTGAAGCCACTTTAAAAGAATTTTAATATAATGCAGACACAACAAGACTGCAGCAAACTCCACTGTGGTTACACTGCCAAGCAGGCTATTAGTTTTTCCCTTGCATTTGACTGTTTTCAGTGCATATGCAAGTTTGGCAAGCAAACTTGGATTTCATCATATTAGGAGTATATTCTAGTTTTAGGTCAGGAAGAAAACGTGAACATAAAAGAACCACATACCCGTCTAATGGCTAAGTGTGCAGTCTCTTCAGTACACCAATAGGTATGAAAGCCTACATGGTACATTGATATTTATGTGGTTCAAAAATCAAGCTCTACAATTTATACACCTAATACTACCAGCTCCGATGCAGGCAGCAAAGGAAGCACCATAAATGGCCACTTTCTCTCAATTACCATATCATAAGTTAAAGTATTTGCATACCCATGAATTGCAACATGTAAGAAAACCCTCACCCAACTAAACCACTAACAGTTTGCAAGCACACAAAGTTTGTCATGCAATACGGCAAATTTAAAAAAGAGAGAGAGAAAAGAAAAACATTGTGTATGTCTGTTGATCATTCTGGTGGTGGTTATATGAAAACACGGCAAAGCCATAAAATACAAAGGAGAATTAGTACACAATTTCATATGTGGAAGTAGATCTGAATTTTGAATGATTGTTGTTATGGGATGACACTCCTATGAGATGGAGGAATCTGAGTCTGAAAAAACAAAGACATTTATCTATACAAATATGAGTATTAAGTTGAGGTTTTATCTCAAGCACTACAGCACACCCAAACAAACCCCACCCCAGAGAAAACATAAAAAATGCCAAAAAACAGATACCACTAAGCTTAAAATACACCAAAATGGGGAAAATAATAAGAAAAACCATTTAAACTTTACCTTGATTGTCATAGGAGTGCAGAGTGAAGTTGACCACAATAGGTTCATCATTATTTGACACAGTTACAGACAGAGGTTGAGATGTCTGATAACTGGAATAAAATAGAAAGCAAAAAGAAAAATAGAGTTATTACTAATATGGGAGACTAAACCTTACAGCAAAAGATTAAATTCATTTCATATTTCATCATGATTCATAAACAAAGTACAACGGGTACAAAAAGTGATAAGAAAAGTGATAAAATGAATTCTTACCCATAGGCACTTGCATAAACACTATATGTTCCAGGTGTGAGAAGTCGCCAAAATTCTCCTCGGGTTGTAGTTGTCACATTTTTCTTTACACCTTCAACTACTACAACAGCACTTGGAATTGGGATATTATTGGTATCAACAATAAGACCTGAGAATGAGAATAGTTAAATAATTATGAGATTAAAGAGAACACTTAAGTCTGAATAGATTAGTACATACCTTTAAAACCCATGTGTGCGAGTTCTAGATATCTTAATAAGGACTCTCGGTTGTCCTGCCAGTAAGATGGTAGTTCAGATACTTTCGGAAACTTGCAACATGACAGTTCAAATGTTATTTCAAAGCAGTTTGAGCGAACATAGTTAAAATCTTGCATTCCACCTGAAGTTTAAAGTAGACTTGCACTATTATCGGTAGCTGAGGTAGATCTGACAAGTTATGGAATGTTCAAGGCAAATACTTACCATCAACATTGTACCAGTATGCCCCATTTGTAATCCCCTGAGGGAAGTCATCTCCTTTACAGGCCTTACCATTAGACATTTGGGGATTATGCTTTGCATATTCCAAAGATAAGTATTTGAAAACTTGATCATCAGGGGATGCACTTTCGATTTGAGACTGCTCCTGACTAGAGAGAGAGAAAAAGAATTGAACTGTTACATCTACAGCTCCTAGTCTTCAATAATAATCACAGCATAAGCTTCCTATAATACCGTATTTATTCCCTTCTAGATCATGCCCTTTTTTCTGATTTTAAAACTACAACGTCGGGGTGCTGTAGAGCCCTGCAAAGAGTGAGCTACAGATAGCTTGCTCAGTGCGGGGCTCTAGGTTGCTGCTTAGAATTAAGTACCCGATCAGCAAGGGTCTTATGGGAGTCTCCAGTGACTCCCCTGTAAAATTTGAGGTGCAGCTTAGAATCAAATAAATACGGTAAGTTAAGGAAAAGGCCAATGGAATAGTAAGAGCTAAAAAGAGAAGAAAAACACAGCCCACAAAACAAGATGTAAAATTTTATGAATGGTAAAAATCACAGCAAGGATAGGAAAAGCACAAAATTTGGCAGATGACAGGGGAACTCACTTTGCACTTGGTGTATCATCAAATGGATAGCTAGCAACAATGGCACCTCCATGTAAATTTGAGGATAAAACAAAAGGTTCTGAAACAATCCACTTCATAAGTGCCTGTGTTTCAGGCTGGCAATTTTCTGGTTGTTTGTCTGAAGAAGTGAACTGATCCGGGAAGTCGCGGTTCAGGTCAACATTGTTAGCATTTTCGCGTCCAACATAGCCAGGAATCGATTCACAACTACCTTCCTGTAATTAAAAAAGAACAAAACGCTTAGAACAAAATGCTTTGCTAAAAATTGCAAAACGTTCTGGTTTTAGTTGCTTCATTGACAAATCAAACCTTTGAGCGAGAGTAGCCGTCTGGGTTCATGGAGGGCATAAGGAAAATATTGGTTCGGTTGAGCATGCGGGTCAGTCTGGGGACCTTCCCATAATTATTGAGCAAGTATTGTGCGAGGAAAATCAATAGCTCCCGGCCAACGGTTTCATCGCCGTGCATATTAGCAACCATTTTCACCATGGGTTGGCCCAGAGGTCGCTCCGCACCTACATTGGCCCTCAGTTCTAGGGCCCACAGGTCACGTCCTTCTACTGACTTCCCTATAGACCGCCTCGCTGCTAGGTGAGGGTGTTCGGTTTCAAGTTTAAGGAGAAAATCTGACAGTTCGTCGTGTGACATGTACTTGTGTCCGTTCAGAAACGTCTCGTCGGCCTGAGCCAAAGCCGAGTCGGATGCCGGCATGGACCAACAGACTAGCGATAGATGAAGGCATATTGAAAAAGTCACAATTAAAAGATTCATACTTCACAGATTTTCGTGACTGCCAGTTTGGCACTTATAACGTCACAATCGTCACCAACCACACCTGGTGGCTGTGGTGTTTACGACTGGACACGGAGACGAGACGATCAACAAGTTTTGTTCACGTCAGAATTCATCAGCCAGCAGAACTCAACTTGAATTATTGACCGTAATGACCACATTGACGCCTCAGGGCCGCCTCAGAGCGTTAGATAGATGTGAGACACAATAGATCCACGAAATTTAAAAAAAAATCGTGAATCTGTCAAATTTGATGAGTGCTAGAATTCGTGATAAAATAACAAGAAGAGATAAAAAGCAGAGATAAACCAAAAGAGATACATGTCAGGGAGTCTTGAACGTACCTCTGGCGCGCGTTCTTCAAATGCCTCAATGGGGAAAAAGAGAAGGTTAAGGTTGACGTTAAAGCCCTAGTATGTTTTAAAAAATTAACCCAGAATCTAACGACAGACATTCATTTTCGTGTCAGTAGTTTTGTTCAATAATAACACGTCAATGATTTCGATATGGGGAGGTGAGTTTGGGTGTGTAAACCTACAGACGGTTAATCTTCTTTGTTTTGCACTTTCTTTTAAGGTTAATATTGTATTTAGTGTATTGTTTCCCCCTGTTTTTTGGTTTGTTGTTAATGTCACCTTGTCACATGTATAACATTCACATTAATGACAAACGTCCCCATTTTTTTGGATTCAGAGGACTTAGATCACTCAATGGGCATCGTCACAAAAAAACAAAACTGATCTAAGTTTCTGATGTATCAACTGTTGACAAACCTATTCAATGTTTAATTTACAATAAATTACAAAAATTTCACAGTTTGTTTGTTTGTTTGTTTTGGTTTTTTTCTTTTTCCTGTTACTTCACAACATTAAAAAAATCATTGATATGATTGCAGCCATAAAATTTGGAGGACCCAGGCCAAGAAGATGAGAAGAAAACGTATTCGTCAAAAGCTGGCTCAAGAACGAGATGAAGCCATCAAGAAAGGTAATCAATCAATTCTTTAATTATTTTGATGTTTATTTTTAAGTTGTTGAGCTACCTGTAATTGATATTGACTGTATCCATAACTCAAAAGCTGGGGTTTGACTTCTTTTTAAATTTTAAAGAGCTGGAGATTAAAAACAAATGTCCAAGATACCAAGCATGGTTATCGGAACAGAGGGCCTTGGAAATTTTTGCTGAGGAAGAAGAAGCTCGACTTGCAGCAGAGCGACATGCAGCTTGGGTTGAAGAGGAAGAGCGTGCTCAGAAAGCATGGAAAGAACGACAAGACCGCCTTGCTGTGGCACGTGCAGAGAGAGCCAAACAGGAGGTAGATTTTGCGCCATGATTTGTGTACATTTTTATTTGATTTTTTGCTCTGCTGGGATTATTGTACAGTTTTTACAATTGTTTCGGTTTTCTAGTTACGTATTAAAGAAGAGTGGGAAGAAGAACAGCGTAAAATAAAAGCTGCGGCGGAGGAGCAGGAAAAAATAGCAGAGAAGAAGAAACAGCAACAGGTACAGTACTGTAGGATTATCTTAAAATTAAATCAAAAAGATGTAAAAATATTTTAGCACATCTGACATTTTTGATTCCCTACAAGCACTTGGGTAATATCTTATTTAATATACAGTTTTCTAACCTGGCTGTGTTTCATTAGATTCATTCAGCTTTATCCAAGTGTTTCATTGTTGTGTGTTTCTATGGTTATTGCTACAACGGTATTTTCTTAATTTTCATATCTAGGAAAAATTAATGAGACAGATTGAAAACTTCATAAACAAGGTAACTTTTTTGGTATTCCATCTAAAAAGTATGAGGATTCCCCAAAATATTTCACATTTTTGATTGTTTCTCTGCTTTCAAATTTCAGGGTTGTGACATGCCTCCTGAAGTAAATGTGGCATCTATGACAAATCCTGATAAGCCAGCATGTCCATTTTTTTCAAAGACTGGCGCTTGCAGGTTTGCTGACCGATGTTCAAGGTACTGTGTGAAATCACAATACACATGGGTAAAAGTATTATTTAAGAGATTGTTCATTCAAGATTGTGATAATATTTCTGTTTGGTTTGTCAGGAATCACACAAGGCCTGCCATTAGCAGAGTATTGCTTGTGCCTAATTTTTATGATCACATCGGGCTACGCCAAATGAACCCGGATGAATTGGAGGCTGCAGATGATTGGTTGGAATATGAAGATTCAGAAACTTATCATCACTTTCTGTAAGATTTTGTCAATGTACCTCTAAGTACATTTTCCAACAGATAGCAAATTTTGATTGTGTGTTTTTATTTTTCAATTGATTTATCCTTTCAGAGATTTTTATGAGGATGTCCTGCCAGAGTGGGAGCGAGTTGGGCAAATTTCACAGTTTAAAGTCTGTTGTAATTTTGAACCTCATCTTCGGGGAAATGTTTACATAGAATATGATAGTGCTCAAGATGCAGTAAAAGCTTTTAAAATGTTCCATGGACGTTTTTATGGTGGAAAACAAATAAATGTTGAGTTTGTAACTATTGATAGCTGGAAGGCTGCAATATGTGGTCAGTATTTGAGACAAACTAGACTCAATGACTTTGCTTTTAATTTTATCATTAATGTTGACTTTTTTTGTTTTTGTTTTTTCAATTCTTCAACTAGGTCAGTTTCACAAAAACTGTTGTCCTAAAGGAAGGGCTTGTAACTTCCTTCACGTCTTTCGTAATCCAAGGAATGCATTTTATGCTGCTGATCGTGATCAACAAGAGTGGCGCCGCTCACTTAATAATGTTCATAAATCTTCCCCACGAAGAGGTCAGGCAAGGTCTTGGTCTGGTAGTCCAGAAAACAGTCGGTGCGTAAGCTGAAGTAATGTACTAAAGTGTTGTGATGATGAAATGTGACTAATTGTACTGTGACTTACATTATAGCAGGGGAGATTGGCGATGGTCAGCCTCACCTTCTCCACCATCAGAGGAGCAGAAACCTGATAGTAAGCGGTCTCATCACAGTGGGAAGAATAGTTCCCATAGGATTCGGACTAAAAGGAGGAGAGAGGGCAGCAGTGAAAGCCATGGAAGGTCCCGAGCCAAAGTGAAAAGATATGATAGAAACAGTGGAAGGCATAGCCCCAGGAGAAATTATACTGAATCCTCAATACATGAAGTGGCTTCAAGGAGGGACTCTAGCTCAAGCATTAGCTTATCAAAATCATCAGATTCAAAACTCAGTGAACAAAGGGTTGATGGTTGTGTAAATGAGGAAGCAAACTGTGATAAAAGTAATCAGAGTGTAGCAGACAGCAAGCACATTAGCTATGAAACAGAAAGTGATCAGGACAGCAATCCTAAGTCAAGAACCAAAGTTAAAAAGGCCAAGAAGAAGAAGGATTCTCACAGAAAAGAAAAACGAAGGAAAAAAAGGCATTACAGATCAGGCTCAGAATCATCAGATTGAAAAATGTCATTTTATTTTGATCATTAATTGAAAAACAAATTTCTGTTCAGCTATTATTTTTATTTAAAAAATTGAAGTATAAAACATTTATAAATTGGACATGAGGATATAATACATTTAAAAATTCTCAACATATGATCAACAAAAATTCATCTGTACAAAATACTGTTAAGCGTAATAATGCCTCCCGAAACTAGGCAACCTCATGGTAAAACTTCAGTTCTTAAAAATGAAGATAGCAAATTTAAACTGCCTCCAGAAGGAGAGCAATACCCTGTCCACCACCAATACAAGCTGATCCAATACCAAACTTGGCCTTCCGCCTCCTGAAAAGAAGAAATGTAAATCAGTTCTTTAAATGGGGGCCCTACAGATTTAGCACAATATACATAAGTACATTCCACATATTAAGACCTACCTAAGCTCATGCGTGAGGTGCGATGTAATACGAGCACCTGAGGCAGCCAGTGGGTGTCCCAAAGCAATGGCTCCTCCATTCACATTCAACTTGTTCATGTCCAACTTAAGTTCCTTGGCACAAGCCAATGTTTGTGCTGCAAAGGCTTCATTTATCTATGAGGAACAAAATAAGACATTAGATCAGTTTATACCAGGTGCAACAAAAGATAATTCAAACAGTGTTGTGTACTTACCTCTACAAGGTCAATGTCATTTAGAGATTTCCCAGCGACTTTCAATACATTCTGAATAGCAGGGACAGGGCCAATACCCATAATGCTTGGCTCAACTCCAACTGTTGAGTAAGCAACGAGACGAGCCAGAGGAGTCAAACCATGCTGCTTTACAGCTTCTTCGCTAGCCAAGATCACTGTACCAGCACCATCACAAATTCCCTGACCAGATGAAAGAAAAGTCAAAAAACTTTACAATACAATAAATACAATAAAGTGTCAGAAAATGGGCGGCTGGCATGAGTAAATGACAACTTACAGAGGCATTGCCAGCAGTCACAGTACCATCTTTTTTAAAGATTGTTGGCAGCTTATTAAGACCTTCCAGAGTAGTTTGTGGACGAGGATGTTCATCAACAGTTACTTCAACATCTTGTTTCTTCACTTTAACTGACACTGGAGCTAGCTCCTCTTTAAAACGGCCCTCATCATTGGCTGTTAACAAACAAATAAGAATTTAATTATAGTTTACAGTTTAAGATGAGTTTGACACAAACAAAATTAAATACCTTTCTTCCACAAATGCTGTGATCGTAGAGCAAATTCATCAACCTCTTGCCTGCTGATTTTGTATTTCTCAGCAAGGTTTTCAGCTGTGATAGCCATTGGCATCTTGCAGTAAGTGTCAGTAAGACCAACCCAAAGTGTGTCTTCAAGTTGGAGAGGAGCTCCAAGACCCACACCAAATCGAATATTCCTCACAGCATGGGGAGCTTGGCTCATGTTATCAACACCGCCAGTCACAACGATGGAAGAATCGCCCACAAGGATATTCTAGAAGTAAAATTGAATGAATTGGTCTTGTAAAACATAATGACAATTTATATCTAATGACTTTTAAATACCAACCTGGGCACCATTGACAACTGATTGAAAGCCAGTGCCACAAAGTCTGTTAACACCTAGAGCTGGCCTGTCAAGAGGTATTCCACAGTGGAGAGCCACATGTCGGGGCATGAAAATAGAGTCTGGGGAGGTAATCTGTAAAGATTATAAATGAAAAAGAATAGAATTAAAAACTTAGTCCTTTCCGAGACAAGGCAAGTTAAATGAAAAACTCACAGCTAAGACATTTCCAAAGACAACTGAATCAACAATCTCTGGCTTGATACCGCCTGCAACAAGAGCGGCCTTGGTCGCTGCAGTCTGGAGCTCAGCTGCGCTCTTCTGCACAAACTTTCCTCCATAAGTACCAAATGGGGTCCGCTTGGCAGCAACAATAAAGATACCTGCGAAATAAGAGAAAACATAAGACAGTAACTAATAATGAAAAGATGAAGAGCTTATGTGGTGAAAATTGAGTTAAAATATCAATTCCTAAACCTAAGTTTCATAACTTCCATATTTTCTACAAATATTGTGAGGTCCAAAAAAAGCTGCACATGATACAGAAATAATGACAATAGAATCCCGCAGTTGAAAACCTTTCTTACCTTTCGTTATAGCGGACATGGTGCTCTATAAAGGGCTGCTCGAAGGAAATGCAAGTCACAAGGTCTCAGCCCAAAGTGCAGAAAGTGGTAGATGGACCCTGCTCGAGACGGCGTATAAATAAGGTGGGATATGATGAGAGAAAACAAAGTGGGCAAAGTTCACCGAATACTGCCGTGCCGGCTACACAAGTGCTACGCCACAGTGACATTCGTCAGATAAGGGGAAGACG